CTACATAGTTCTGTATTTACAGGGGACCTACATAGTTCTGTGTTTACAGGGGACCTACATAGTTCTGTGTTTACAGGGGACCTACATAGTTCTGTGTTTACAGGGGACCTACATAGTTCTGTGTTTACAGGGGACCTACATAGTTCTGTGTTTACAGGGGACCTACATAGTTCTGTATTTACAGGGGACCTACATAGTTCTGTATTTACAGGGGACCTACATAGTTCTGTATTTACAGGGGACCTACATAGTTCTGTATTTACAGGGGACCTACATAGTTCTGTATTTACAGGGGACCTACATAGTTCTGTATTTACAGGGGACCTACATAGTTCTGTATTTACAGGGGACCTACATAGTTCTGTATTTACAGGGGACCTACATAGTTCTGTGTTTACAGGGGACCTACATAGTTCTGTGTTTACAGGGGACCTACACAGTTCTGTATTTACAGGGGACCTACATAGTTCTGTATTTACAGGGGACCTACATAGTTCTGTGTTTACAGGGGACCTACATAGTTCTGTGTTTACAGGGGACCTACATAGTTCTGTGTTTACAGGGGACCTACATAGTTCTGTGTTTACAGGGGACCTACATAGTTCTGTGTTTACAGGGGACCTACATAGTTCTGTGTTTACAGGGGACCTACATAGTTCTGTATTTACAGGGGACCTACATAGTTCTGTATTTACAGGGGACCTACATAGTTCTGTATTTACAGGGGACCTACATAGTTCTGTATTTACAGGGGACCTACACAGTTCTGTATTTACAGGGGACCTACATAGTTCTGTATTTACAGGGGACCTACATAGTTCTGTGTTTACAGGGGACCTACATAGTTCTGTGTTTACAGGGGACCTACATAGTTCTGTGTTTACAGGGGACCTACATAGTTCTGTGTTTTCAGGGGACCTACATAGTTCTGTATTTACAGGGGACCTACATAGTTCTGTGTTTACAGGGGACCTACATAGTTCTGTGTTTACAGGGGACCTACATAGTTCTGTGTTTACAGGGGACCTACATAGTTCTGTGTTTACAGGGGACCTACATAGTTCTGTGTTTACAGGGGACCTACATAGTTCTGTGTTTACAGGGGACCTACATAGTTCTGTGTTTACAGGGGACCTACATAGTTCTGTGTTTTCAGGGGACCTACATAGTTCTGTATTTACAGGGGACCTACATAGTTCTGTGTTTACAGGGGACCTACATAGTTCTGTGTTTTCAGGGGACCTACATAGTTCTGTGTTTTCAGGGGACCTACATAGTTCTGTATTTACAGGGGACCTACATAGTTCTGTGTTTACAGGGGACCTACATAGTTCTGTGTTTACAGGGGACCTACATAGTTCTGTGTTTACAGGGGACCTACATAGTTCCTGTGTTTTCAGGGTACCTACATAGTTCTGTGTTTACAGGGGACCTACATAGTTCTGTGTTTTTAGGGGACCTACATAGTTCTGTGTTGTTAGCGGACCTACATAGTTCCTGTGTTTTCAGGGGACCTACATAGTTCCTGTGTTTTCAGGGGAACTACATAGTTCTGTGTTGTTAGGGGACCTACATAGTTCCTGTGTTTTCAGGGGACCTTCATAGTTCCTGTGTATTCAGGGGAACTACATAGTTATGTGTTGTCAGGGTAACCAGATCGTTCCTATATGTTCAGGGGACGTACATAGTTCTGTATTTACAGGGGACCTACATAGTTCTGTGTTTACAGGAGACCTACATAGTTCTGTGTTTTCAGGGGACCTACATAGTTCTGTATTTACAGGGGACCTACAGGGAACTACATAGTTATGTGTTGTCAGGGTAACCAGATCGGTCCTATATGTTCAGGGGACGTACATAGTTCTGTATTTACAGGGGACCTACATAGTTCTGTGTTTTCAGGGGATCTATATAGTTCCTGTGTTTTCAGGGTAACCTGCATCGTTCCTAAGGTTTACAGGGGAGCTACATAGTTCTGTGTTGTTACGGAACCTACATAGTTCCTGTGTTTATAGGGGACCCACATAGTTCTGTGTTGTCAGGGTAACCTGCATCGTTCCTATGTTTTCAGGGAACCTACATAGTTCTATATTTAAAGAGGGCCTACACAGTTCTGTGTTTTCAGGGGACCTACATAGTTCTGTTTTTTCAGGGGACCTACATAGTTCTGTGTTTTACAGGGGATCTACATAGTTCTGTATGTACAGGTGACCTACATAGTTCTGTGTTTTCAGGGTAACCTGCATCGTTACTATGTTTTCAGGGGATCTACATAGTTCTGTATTTACAGGGGACCTACATAGTTCCTGAGTCTACAGGGGACCAACATAGATCTGTGTTTACAGGGGACCTACATAGTATTGTGTTTTCAGGGGATTTACATAGTTCTGTATTTACAGGGACCTACATAGTTCTGTATTTACAGGGTGTTTACATAGTTCTGTATTTACAGGGGATTTACATACTTCTGTATTTACATGGGATTTACATAGTTCTGTATTTACAGGGGACCTACATAGTTCTGTGTTTACATGGGACCTACATAGTTCTTTGTTTACAGGGGACCTACATAGTTCCTGTGTTTTCACCTATATGTTCAGGGGACGTACATAGTTCTGTATTTACAGGGGACCTACATAGTATTGTGTTTTCAGGGGATTTACATAGTTCTGTATTTACAGGGGACCTACATAGTATTGTGTTTTCAGGGGATTTACATAGTTCTGTATTTACAGGGGACCTACATAGTATTGTGTTTTCAGGGGATTTACATAGTTCTGTATTTACAGGGGACCTACATAGTTCTGTGTTTTCAGGGGACCTACATAGTTCATGTGTTTTCAGGGGAACTACATAGTTCTGTGTTTACAGGGGACCTACATAGTTCCTGAGTCTACAGGGGACCAACATAGTTCTGTGTTTACAGGGGACCTACATAGTATTGTGTTTACAGGGGATTTACATAGTTCTGTATTTACAGGGACCTACATAGTTCTGTATTTACAGGGGACTCCTACATAGTTCTGTGTTTACGGGATTTACATACTTCTGTATTTACAGGGGATTTACATAGTTCTGTATTTACAGGGACCTACATAGTTCTGTATTTACAGGGGACCTACATAGTATTGTGTTTACAGGGGACCTATATAGTTCCTGAGTTTACAGGGGACCTACATGGTTCTGTGTTTACAGGGGACCTACATAGTATTGTGTTTACAGGGGTCCTACATAGTTCTGTGTTTACAGGGGACCTACACAGCTCTGTATTTACAGGGGACCTACATAGTTCTGTATATACAGGGGATTTACATAGTTCTGTATTTACAGGGGACCTACATAGTTCTGTATATACAGGGGATTTACATAGTTCTGTATTTACGGGGACCTACATAGTTTTGTATTTACAGGGGACCTACATAGTATTGTGTTTACAGGGGACCTACATAGTTCTGTGTTTACATGGGACCTACATAGTTCTTTGTTTACAGGGGACCTACATAGTTCCTGTGTTTTCAGGGTACCTACATAGTTCTGTATGTTCAGGGGACCTACATAGTTCTGTGTTTTCAGGGGACCTACATAGTTTTGTGTTTACAGGGGACCTACCTAGTTCTGTGTTTACATGGGACCTACATAGTTTTTCAGGGTACCTACATAGTTCTGTATTTTCAGGGGACCTACATAGTTCTGTGTTTTCAGGGGATCTACATAGTTATGTATTTACAGGGGACCTACATAGTTCTGTATTTACAGGGGACCTACACAGTTCTGTATTTACAGGAGACCTACATAGTTCTGTCTTTACAGGGGATTTACATAGTTCTGTATTTACAGGGGACCTACATAGTTCTGTATTTACAGGGGACTACATAGTTCTGTGTTTTCAGGGGACCAACATAGTTCTGTGTTTTCAGGGGATCTACATAGTTATGTATTTACAGGGGACCTACATAGTTCTGTGTTTACAGGGGACCTACATAGTATTGTGTTTACAGGGGATTTACATAGTTCTGTATTTACAGGGTACCTACATAGTTCTGTATTTACAGGGGAGTACATAGTTCTGTGTTTTCAGGGGACCAACATAGTTCTGTGTTTTCAGGGGACCTACATAGTTCTGTGTTTACAAGGGACCTACATAGGTCTGTATTTACAGGGGATTTACATAGTTATGTATTTACAGGGGACCTACATAGTTCTGGGTTTACAGGGGACCTACATAGTTCTGTATTTACAGGGGACCTACATAGTTCTGTATTTACAGGGGACTACATAGTTCTGTGTTTTCAGGGGACCAACATAGTTCTGTGTTTTCAGGGGATCTACATAGTTCTGTATTTACAGGGGACCTACATAGTTCTGTGTTTACAGGGGACCTACATAGTTCTGTGTTTACAGGGGACCTACATAGTTCTGTGTTTACAGGGGACCTACATAGTTCCTGTGTTTTCAGGGTACCTACATAGTTCTGTATTTACAGGGGACCTACATAGTTCTGTGTTTACAGGGGACCTACATAGTTCTGCGTTTACAGGGGACCTACATAGTTCTGTTTACAGGGGACCTACATAGTTCTGTGTTTACAGGGGACCTACATAGTTCTGTGTTTACAAGGGACCGACATAGTTCTGTGTTTTCAGGGAACCTAAATAGTTCTGTGTTTACAGGGGACCTACACAGTTCTGTGTTTTCAGAGGACCTACATAGTTCCTATGTTTACAGGGGACCTACATAGTTCTTTATTTACAGGGGACCTACATTGTTCTGTGTTTACAGGGGATCTACATAGTTCTGTGTTTACAGGGGACCTACATAGTTCTATGTTTTCAGGGTAACCTACAAATGAGAAAGCTTCGTCAGGTTGTAAAACACTTGAGAGACTGATCACGGACCAAAGATGGAGGGCAAGTTTAATCAAAGTACAAAACTAGTCGATTAATAACAACACACATCTACATATATATATTATAAACATCACTAGGAGTAGATATACATACCTGTCACAAGCCGGAACCACGCTGCTGTATCCTTCCACGTGATGTTCACAGCTCCAAATGATCAGGATAATCCACCGTGTATAACCACTCATCTTCTGGCTGCTGCAAATTGACAAAATTCTAAAATCCAATTCTGCTTAAAGTTGACTATTGAAATCCTATTGTACCTTATAGAACATTGTATGCATCAACATCTCACCATACAAACGAGATCTCGTAGAGCTATCGTTTAAAGAAAATACGTTTGCAGAAATCATCTATTAATGCGTAAATTCTTAATGATTAATGTAAACGTGATTTTCATGAAAGAAAATTAATGTAACAATAGATTATGATAATGAACATTATATATACAGTACTAATAAATGACAATCATAAGTTAAGATGGTCTTCTATCATGTTTTAAAGTAGAAAACATAAGTTTGAAACTTTACTAGTATATTACATGGCATTAGTTGCGTCAACTACCTATTCTCAAAACAAACGCTTAATCCAATTTAAGTGGTGTATCGCTTAATCCAAGTTATATACCGCTTAATCCAAGTGGTGTACCGCTTAATCCAATTAGCGTACCGCTTAATCCAAGTAATGTACCGCTTAATCCAAGTGGTGTACCTCTTAATCCAAGTAATGTACCGCTTAATCCAAGTAATGTACCGCTTAATCCAAGTGGTGTACCGCTGAATCCAAGTGGTGTAGCGTACTAGCCCGGCGATCACTGGGCCGAATATCACACAAACCTTGTTAGATATACGACATATTTGTACCGCCAGGCAACACTTTCATTGTAAACAAACCAACAGTGTCTGCTGCCCCCACTGGAATCGGGGCTGTCTGGGACCGTCGCTGATCAGTTGCATATTGTGGCGTTTTCATACACTTGTTTTAACAAAAATCTGCAATGATTTGCATCAATATGTGACTAATGTTTAGCATGGGAAAGTATCAGCATCAAATTATCAAGACAAAGGGATTATGATCATTGTTTTTAATACAAAAAGTGTAGCAGAAGTTGGAATATCACAGTTACCTCCCTTTGATCATGTAGATCTATGTAAAATGAACAACGAAATACTAAACATATACACCTAATAACACACACGGTCCTGAACGGGGACATCCTTATCAGGATACCAAATGTTAAATATATCCGTTGTGAATCTTCGCATAAGTAAAGTCAGCACAGCAATAAATCGGTCAAGCGATGTGTCATAATGATTTTTAAATAAAAAAGGTAACATGAACGAGGAAATACTATATATATATATATATTTACATTCTGTATGCTTAGACCCATTGACAAAAATTACATTCATAAATGCATAACACAGGTGTTCATAGAATCTCAGCACGTGGGAACTGATAGTAACCTGACCACACTGCGTAGTAATACACTACAAAAACTACTCACTCGGAACGACCGACCTAGATGCTTAATTCTTACATCTTAAAATATTATTGAACTGTGCTTTGTGAAATATCCACGTATTCACGTGTCCTGTGCTACAAATAAACATTGAATATGGAACTACATTTTGTTGTGTTATTGTTGTTGACGGTTGCTAAGATCTCTCACGATAGTGTCACATTTCCCCGCGAAAAAACACTGTTCTCGCCACTGCGTTGCACCCGTGTATAAGCAGGAACAAACCCTGTTTATTTGTTTTATTCGTTGTTATATCGATCCACTGAAAGGATTCGTCAATGTAAATATAAGGAATGATATTTATTTTTTCAACATTTATGAGGTCATAACAACAATGGGTTTTTGGACATATTTTACATGAATCGCTAACGCGATTCATTCAATATGTCCATAAACCCATTATGTTAAATATGTCCTTTGTAATTCTTCACATTATTAAAGTCAGCAATGAATCGGCCAAGCGATGGGTCAATGATTTTTAAGTGAAAATAGGTTACGTGAACGACGAAATACTAAATATTTACATCTTGTAATATACACGGTCCTGAGCGGGGACATCCTGATCAGGAAATCTAAAGTTAAATGTATCCGTTTATTTTTCCTCATATAAGTTAAGTTAGGGATGAACACGGTTAAAAGATGTGTCATTATGATTTGCAAAAGAAAAAATAGGTAACATGAACGACGAAATACTGTATATAAACATCTTACAAGAAACACGGTCCTGAGCGTGGACATCCTGATGAAGAAATCAAATGTTAAATATATACGGTCTTTTTTGTCATATAAGTTAAGTTATCAATGAATACGGTCAAAACATGTGTAATAATGGCTTTTAAATGAAAACATTTGAACATGGACGACGAAATACTTAATACATATATCTTATAACATAATCGGTCCTGAGCGGGGACATCCTGATCAGGAAATCAAATGTTAAATATATCTGTTGTTATTCATCACATAAGTAACGTAAGCAATGAATACGTTCCAAAGATGTGTCATAACGATTGTAAAATGTAAAACAGGTAACATGAACGACGAAATAATATATATATGAACATCTTATAACATACACGGTCCTGAGCGGGGACATACTGATCAATAATCAAATGGAAATAATTCCGTTAGGTTATTTTTATCAAATACATACACTCGTCAATGTCAAAGATCAAGGGATGTTTCATAATAATTTCCAAATGGTAAATCCTCTAAACATTTAAATCACAATAAAGGAATACTTCATAAAATAATTGTTTGTCGTTATATAAGTTGGCAATGAACACCGTCAAAAGATACGACATTGTCATTCTTAAATGGATATATACATGTACATTACATCAATGATGGAATACATTAGTTTCCATCATACTACGATATGAGTCCTGAGCGGGGACACCCTGATCAGGCATTATAATAAAAATATATCCGTTCTCGTCATAACAATTTTAAATGGATATATATATTACATCAATGACGAAAGAAATGTACATTATAATGCATCTTATAACGTTTACGGTCCTGAGCAGGGACATCCTGATCAGGAAAATCAATTGTAAAATGTATCCTTTGTGATTCATCACATACGGAAATTTTTCAATGAATACGGTCAAAAGATGTGTACTTATGATTTTAGAATTAGAAATACATTACAACAGTAATGAAACACATTATATCAACATCTGATAATGTAAACGATTCTGAGCGGGGACATTTCGATCCGGAAATCAATGAAAATCATCGAAAATCATCGAAATCAACGAAAATAATGATCAAACAACTATCCGTTGTTATTCATCCCATAAAAAAGTTAGAAATAAATACGGTCAAAAGGTTTATACTTATGATGGAATATATATATATATTTTAAAAGCAGAAAAATGATCCTTACGGACGAAGAAATATCATATAAAAAGAAAATTCTCAACAACGAGTCTTTAATGCTTTCATCTCTTCTCGGAGATTCTTCAGACTCCCTGATCAGGAATTATAATAAAATGAAGAATCTTCTAGAAGAGATGAAAGTACTAAAGACTCGTTTTATATAATATATATATATAGGTAACATAAACGATCAACTACACAAAGGTCATAAGGCGAACGGTCAAGACAGGTGTCATGATATCTTACACATTGAATCAAAGGTAAAATACATTATTAATACATTTTATAACGTATACCCTCTCGAGCGTTGCGCTGAGGTAAGAGATGGATTGATGTGATTTTGAAATAGAAAATAAACTATGTTAATAATATAATATCATTTTAATGTCATATAATAGTGTATACGGTTCCAACAGGGATACTGATCAGGAAATCAAATGCTCAATATATCTGTAGGCATTTATCACATCTAGAAAGGTAGTAATGAATAAGGTCAAGAGAGGTGTCATATGATCATATGGATCGTATGGACACCCGATCAGAAAATGAAATAAATACTGAATAGATAATAATGTGTCAAATGCATTCAGCCAGGTATGTATAGAGTCAAGAGGTAAATACGACTGAGAAGCAAATTGTCTTCCTTATAACTGCTTTTGATAGTGTATACGGTTCTGAGTGAGGACATCTTGATAAGGTTTTCGAAATATCAGCACGTACTCTTTTCTTTCTTGTTGGAGTGACGAGTTTTCCTTTCATGCCTGATTGAATCAAGAGGTCCTACTGACTTGAAATAGAGAGGGTCGACTTAAGAATGTCAGACGGAGGTCATTAATGGGCTCTTACCAATTACCTCAGCGACTAATTTGATAGGGTATTGGGCGTTTTCTCTGTGATGGTGGCTGAATTTAGACATTGACTGCGCATGTATACCTGACTAATATGCAATTCTACATTTGCATATGTTATTTGGGAAAAAATGGACCTGAAAGCGAAGGAGTTTAGGGGGAACTTTTCGCTTATTTACCATACATCACGTTTTCGATTCATCTACATAGTTTTTTCGCTTCTTCGTCATCCTGCAATCCTAGTTTTCTCTTCCTACTTTCTCTTCATCATGATATAGAAATATTTCATGGTTTCCCATTGAATGTCATATATCTGTCACGAGTTTTGCGGAATAAGGATATTTTTCTCGAGTGCAAAGAACGAGTGCAAATATCGATATATTCTGCCACGAGTGAAATATATATGGTATTTAACGGAAAACTATTCAATATTCAATTTCTGACTTTTTAAAAGTAATACGAAGCAAGTATTACTGCACCAAAATGAAATAAGAGGCGTAATATTTATGCAGTGGAGATATAATGATTTATGAAAATAATAATGATTAATATTTTACTGACGAGAATGTCATAAATTCAAATATCATATACTTTCTCATATTTTACATATTACCCGAATGAATCTTTATATGTTATTACTTTTATTATTATTAATGAAGCCGATTTGATGATATGTTTACTTGAATAGGTATTTAATGTGAATAGTGTTCAATTTCAGAGTTTCTCGTTGTCACGTAGTTCAGAGGTACAAAAATAATTGATGGCTGTTAATACACCAGTGCTGGCCGTACAATTAATTGTCTTATGTCAGATAAGGCTTAGTATATGAGGGGACGGTGAACTGTAGTTTGAACTGTAGTTCATGTCTATTAAATGCCGAGATTCAGTGCAATTTGTGTATGTTGTATATACGATGGCCGATAGCAGCCTGACACAAAAATAGAGTAAAGTAAATGTGTCATGTTGTTATCATGACACAAAATAAAGAAACACCATGACACAAAAAAAAATAACTAAAATAAATGTGTCATGATGTGAGCATGACACAAAATAAAGAAAAATACCGTGACACAAAATAATTACCTAAAGAAAATGTGTCATGATGTTAGCATGACACAAAATAAAGAAACACCGTGACACAAAAAAATTACCTAAAAAAATGTGTCATGATGTTAGCATGACACAAAATAATGAAAATACATTGACACAAAAAAACCACTCTCTGGCCGAAAATGACTTATTCATTCAAAAATGTTTGGTATGCTAATTGGATACGTCAGTGGAATGTATGACCACGGAGATTGGTACGACGAATACGAACTCCCTTTTTAGCCGAACACGGCACCTGGTTGCAGCAGATCAGGCGCTCTACACCAGTGAGTATGTTATAATGATTTGTTGTATTGTATAGAATTTGTATACTGTTCAATGTGATATGTGTTGTATGTTTTGAACACAAAAAGCGTTTGATACAAAGTGTGTATTGTATTTATATAAATGTGTTGCGCGCCGCTTAATAATCACGATCGAGTTTGTA